TTTTCAGATGACAAATTCTTCTCAAAACATATATTTTTTATTAGTTTCGACAATGGGTTTATATGGAAGACTAATCTGTATATCAGTCTGTGAGGGTTCTCATATTACCAACGACAAAGTGTCATTCAAATAAAATTTAATTTTAACACTAATCGACAGATGAGCCAATAACCGACGAGATGCCAATAAACGCAGTGTTCTGATTGGCACACAGTGAATTTGGTACTTGCCAGTGTTGCATGGGTTTCATCTAAAGCACAGAACATAAAGTCTAAAGCCATTCTTCAGCGACAGTGCCATTCATTCCTCAAATACAACAAATACACCATTTTTTAAAGATTTCTAACACCGAGTGATAAATTGTTAAGCATTACAAATCTTAATGAGCTACTTCAACCCGGCTAGCCGGGTTAGCGCGGGACATGTAATCGCAATTCCAAAGTCAGCTGGCTTAGCCGGGACAACTTGGCAAAACCGGAAAACTCAGCCCATGTAATTAGCCCCTCAGTTGGCAGAGCATCCATTGGCTAGTATTCCAAAAGGTATTCCAATTGACACCCTTAGAGTGATTCTGGGTCTATCATTGGTCATATTTTCTCGGAGAGAGCATTATTATCACTGACTTTACAATAATTATTAAAAACTTATTTTTAAACCTGGTGATTAGAAAACCTTTCCCATTTTGTTAGAAAGGTGAGAGGAATGAATGCAAGAAAAGAATGTTGATGAAGCAACAAATCACTATGGCACGGTCTAAACGCGGCTTAAAGTTTCGCATGCAGTGCCATGGACGCGTCCATACCTTGTTTATTTGTGTTCGAATGACTTTTTTTAACTTGGCCTGGACGTGCCATGCTAACAATGGCATTGTATATTTATGTTCCAATGAACTTTTAAAATTGGCGTGGACGCGCCATGCCATTGAAAATTTATGTTCCAATTACTTTTTTAACTTGGCGTGGACATGTCCATGCCATTGTATATTTGTCTTCGAATGACTTTTTTAACTTGGCGTGGACGCGCCATGCCATACATAAATATACAATGGCATGGATTCGCCATGCCATTGCAAATTTATGTTCCAATTACTTTTTTAACTTGGCGTGTCCGTGTCCATGCCATTGTATATTTTTGTTCGAATGACTTTTTTAACTTGGCGTGGAACCGTCGATGCCATCAATGGCATGGACGAGTCCACGCCAAGTTTACAACTATTAATTAATTAAAAAAGTAATCGGAAAATCAATATACAATGGCATGGATTTGTCCATGCCACAACCTCGTACCCAAGGCCAGTCGTGAGTAGAAGGCAGCGACATGGCCCTGGTAAACGCTGGTCACGTGTCAGGCAAATACTCCAAGACTCTTGGAGTATTAGCCTGCGAGCGGGCTTTATGGAAATAAAGACAGGGGGGCGACGAAAAGTTCACGAATAGAACTTGAATTGCCGTGGATTATTTATATTCTTTTATTTTTTGTTGTAATCTTTCTTTTTAACGTGTTACGTTTATATATTACGTCGAATGTGCGTAAATCTTCTTTTATATCGCATCATAAAAATCGCCGAGGAGGCAATGACGCGATGTTTCGGCTTTCGAAGGACGATTATGGAGACAATTGCAACCTCGTACGTACTATTTGTGACGATCTCCATCAAGTAGAAGGTACAGTATGGATTTGAAAATGTCTAGAAGTATTTTATTGTTACAAATTATTTAGCAGATTCCCATGAGTTAACACGTGCACGTGCACTCTTGCGAATATCGCATTGTTGGCAATGCGGTTGTCTTTAATATATTTGTTACACTGACCAGTTCTATGAAATATATATTTCGAAGGCTGTTATATTTTATACAGTATGTTATAGTTAGCTGAATTTGTAGTTTAAATATTGAGAAACACATGGCCAGACAATGGCCTATAATACTATACTCAGACTCTCAGTAAAGTTCTACTTCTCACATGATTATTATTTACAATTGATTGATTTATCGCTGCGAGAAACGTGTTTACAGTATTAACTACAGTTGTTCACTGCAGTATTAACTTCAAATACTTTGTTTTTTTACATTTACAGTTAATGACCTGAAATTATTTAAATAAGCCATTATTAATAACAAAGTGCCCAGGTTGACAAAGCTAAAATCTGATGAACCTCAAGGTCTTGAACTGCTAGGATATTTTAATAGTCAAACATCAGTTTCAGCATGTATTCAGCATTAATTAATGTCAGTGAGTTAATGAGTATTTTTAATATCCATGACAACTGCAGCTGGTCAGGGATTATTTAGGGAAAATGTTAGCACCCCACCGTAAAAACCTGCCCCCGAATCTCAAAATTTAATTATTTTGTTCCCTTGCCCCTACATATATTTTGTTCCCTTGCCCCCTATACACAGGTATAAACCTTTTGAACCCTTGAGATCTTTTAAAAAATTGCCTAAATCTGCAGTGTGGCTTGTAACCTTGTTGCCATAATTATTTTCTGAAGGATTCAATAAATTTCTACTCTAACACCTGATAGAGATGGGGGCCATATGCATGAACAAGAAGAAATGATTTCTTCATCTATCGACCCCTTACCTCTCACCAAATTTTTTAATAATTATCACTTATTTACTGAGACCGAGGGAAACAGTGTGTTTTGTGGACCCGAGACCGTCGATGTTTCCCGAGGCGAAGCCGAGGGAAACATCGACGGTCGAGTGTCCACAAAACACACTGCTTTCCCGAGGTCTCAGTAAATAAGTGTTTTATTATATATCAATAGTCAAAGAAACAACAAATTAAAGAACAAATGAACGTAAATACATGAAATATTTTCCAAAGGTCGCATCTTCACGTGATGGCGCACGTGATTTTTTTTGTTATTCGCCGGTCGATAACGTATTATCTCCCTCTCGCGCTGTTGTGAGGAAGACAGCCTAATTTCGTCACTCTCACGTGATATGCTCTCAACCAATAAAACACTAGAAAAATGCGACTTTGACTATTGATATATAATAAATTCATTTATTGAATGATTTTGAAGTTTTCTAGATTATTGAAAAGAAATTTATGGGTACAAGATATGGGGCAGAAACAGTTAAATTAAGCAAGATATATGCAAGTAACAATGAACAAGACCAGATCACTGGATGGTATTTCAGCACACTGGTGGACATACAACTTAATACCTGCAACCTGTGTCACATTTATATAGTTTTACACTGTACTGGAAAAATAATGTTAAGGAATTTGTAGAGATTCAGAATGTGCACTACATGGTTTATTCAATCACCTGCATGAATCATTTTCATGTTACCGATATTTAAATTAGTCTCACTTTATAGATAATTATATCAATTTTTAATATCATAAATGAATATAGTAGCTTTTGATTATACAAGTTATAATAATGTATCAGCAAATAATGACTGGTCTCTATGAAATTCATATGGAAAGATTCAAATTTGAGTTGACTTCCACTACCACTACTTGATCTGGCAGTTGCATCCAGTGTTTGATTGGGTAGATGAAACTTATTTGGTTAGTTAATGGTAGCAATAGCAGTAGTGGAAGTCAAATCTGATCTCTCTATTATCCTTTGAAGATTTGCTCTAGTCACTTGAATTCAGGGTTGCCCATGCACAGTTATTGTTGACTTGGTTAGCACAGCTAACTCTTCAAATTGGAGGTCCAGTTCTTAGGATTCTGCGAATTAATTCTAGAAAACTGGCTTTGGTTTGGGCTGAGCAAAAATCATCACACTATTTACCATCCTGATTTGGTTGTTTAACAGTTAAAGTCTAGGATGCATGTTTTTTTGTCCTGCATATGGCAGATGGGACAGTCCGGTTTCCAAGTGTTTATGTGGGTAATTAATATTAATCCTGGCTTCTGAGCGAAGGTCTTGCCAGCTTTATGCAAGACCTTTGTGACGTGAGATTCCAATTGCTACACAGCATGATCTCAGGGCTCTTCCTCTGAAACAATGCTTGGTTGCAATATCATCCAGCAAGTGCAAAAATGCACTACCAAGGATCATTTGGCATGTTTATCGACTATGTTAACCCATTGAGTGGCAGTATGCACTTTCCCCCTGCATGACGAGTAAAATTGTCTGGCGTTAGACAGAGTAAACTAACAAAGTAGGGCGCATCTTGGTGCATTGACTTAAAGGGATAAAAGGTAAATACCACAGCACAACACTTGTACATATACAACAGCAATCCTTTTATATATTTAATAGTCATATTTACATATTGGTGAAATATCAATGTCCATATATTAGGGATGTGCATGAACTTCAGAACTTGTTCCTAGTTTGAAGCTGAAGTATTCATATCTTTTGTATCAGTTGTCCCTCTACTAACCAACTTTTAGTCATTATACAAGAGTTGAATTTGCATTCATTTGCTTCGCAAATCGCAACAAACTGAACAAAGTACTAAACCATAAACCTGTGCAATGATCGAGCGTCTTGAGCGACATATCCAAGTCTTTTAATTAAACGTCTCATACGAACAAATCTCACTGAGTTTTTCCACAGAAAGTATTGATTCATTTGATCGATCGCCGTACTTTGAGAAAAGCTTGAAATGCATGCAAAATTCACAGGGAAGATTGAAGAATTTCGTACTAAAAACCTAAAAACTGTTTCACCTCTAGAATTCACCCCCCCGGATCAGAAAAGTAACAATTACGTACTGTTCGAGGCACGTGACCAGCGTTTACCAGGGCTACGCCGCCGCCTTCAATTCGCGGCTAGCACTGGGTACGAGGTTGTCCATGCCATTGGAAATTTATGTTCCATTACTTTTTTAACTTGCGTGGACGTGTCCATGCCATTGTATATTGTGCTCGAATGACTTTTTTAACTTGGCGTGGAACCGTCCATGCCATACATCAATATACGATGGCATGGATTCGAAATGCCATTGGAAATTTATGTTCCAATTACTTTTTTAACTTGGCGTGGACGTGTCCATGCCATTGTATATTTGTGTTCGAAAGACTTTTTTAACTTGGCGTGGAACCGTCCATGCCATCAAATGGCATCATGGACGAGTCCACGCCAAGTTAAATAAATTAAAAAAAAATTAATTGGAACATAAATATACAATGGCATGGATCCGTCCATGCCTTTGGATATATATGTTCCAATTAACTTTTAATTTGGCGTGGACGCGTCCATGCCATCTATGGCATGGACGAGTCGACGCCAAGTTAAAAAAGTAATTGGAACATAAAGTTCCAATGGCATTGACGGATCCATGCCATTGTATATTTAGTTCCAATTACATTTTTAATTTGGCGTGGACGTGTCCATGCCATTGTATCTTTGCGTTCGAATGACTTTTTTAACTTGGCATGGACGCGTCCATGCCATGCATGTATATTTGCAGTTTTCCAATGACTTTTTAACTTCATGTGGATGTATCCATGTCATTTGTTATGTGTTTTACGTAGTTGTGTTCCAATGACTTTTTAACTTGTCAATATTGTTGCTTTTCGAATGGTTAATGCAGTTGTTTTGAAATGAAGGACATTTTGTTGCTAATTCTTGTATAATAGTGTAAATAATATAGATGTATTTTACTGTATAGAAAATACTTGCTATATTAATAAATTAAGCAACATTTTGTTGCATGAATAAAGTTTACTTGATTTCTGTACAATTTAGCAAGTGTTATTTTTCAAAATTATGCCAATTTTAAATATTATAACAGTTCTTATAGAAATAATTGTTTGTCAGTTTTTGGCAATAATGAAGAGTTTTGACAAACGTAAATTAAGTGGAACAACGCAAAATTATGTACAGATTAACGTAATTCTCCTGAGAAAGAATCTTCTTTGGAAAAAGTGGGATTAATTTGTTACAAATGTCCAAACGAAATCTAAATTTGTGGCTAAAATCTCGTAAAAAAAAGATTTTGTCCACAAAATTGCTAAATAGAATATTGCACTGAGCTCTGGAACGTGTTATATATATATATATATATATATATATATATATATATATATATATATATATATATATATATATATATATATATATATATATATATTATACACTATATATATATTATACACTATATATATATATATACTATATATATATATATATATATATATATATATATATATATATATATATATATATATATATATATATATATATATATATATATATTCTTATATGTTCACGTTGTATCGTGGTACACTTTGTTATGTATGCTGTTATCGTGGTACACGCTGTATGGGCACCCGTTTAGCATACACCTCAACGGGTATTACCCATGTGTTCTCAATTGAGATTATTCGGTATTACCCATGCCAGACTATCGCCTGCGCTACCTGACGCTGACGCTTTCGCATATCATTGCTGCCGAAGGCAGCACCCTATTCTTGACACGCGGTGGTTTCTCCAGAGTCCACTCGACCCAGTCTTTCGCGCGATCTATGTATTGTCGAGATCTCGATTTGTGTCTGTCTGTCTGTAAAGGCCTGATTCCACGAGCGCTTTTTCTCGGCGAAATGCGAAATATTTCGCCTGTTTCTTTTGAATTGCGACTACTCGAATAAATTATTTCTGCTTGATTGATCACAATTCAAAAGAAACAGGCAAAATATTTCGCATTTCGCCAAGAAAAAGCGCCCGTGGAATCAGGCCTTAAAGATGATTTCCGGGAGGAATAATTAAGCTTCAGGAAGTTTTTTAAACGAGGGGGGCGGTCAAACTTTATTTTGTATTGTGCAAGCAGTTTTATACTTTTAATACGAGACCATACGAGTTTGTATGTTGGATTGCAAACGAATATCAAAGAATAAATCAGGTAAGAATGGCTTTATTTCTTTCTGGTGATATACATGAAAGCATTTAATATATTTAGATCTGCTGTTTTAATAGCATTCGATACAGAGGTATTGAAACATGATTTCATGATGTCAATAATGTCTTATTTTATATACAAGGAGTGAAAATGCACTTTGAGTTTAAGTTAATTGTTTGTGTGGCGATGTGCCAAGGCGATGAGTTTATAGTGTTCATTTCAGATGTTTATAGCAATGGTGCATTCAGCACGTTTTAAAAACAAACGCGGACAACGGACTGTTACTTGTGCACGTAATCAGGCTTTATATAATTATTGAATAAGATTCCTATAGCAACCCAGTGTGGGGTTGTTGTCTGTATATATTAACTTACCAGGCTACCAGCAGTTACATGCAAATTAATAGCATGTCAACCGACTTTTGCACAAGGCCGGGTATCGTGCATGCCTGATGGCCTGTTTATATCTCTGAGACATGTCCATTGTTAAAGATGCATTACAGTCCGTATGTAAACAAAGGCTTTGTTTACATTTCGGTATCCAAAATATAGAATTTTATTCGAGAACTACTTATTTTTCATGATTCTAGAGTATAATAAATTATCAAGACACAACAATCAAGCTTTGCAAGAACATACAACGAAATAAAACCTATTAAAATAAACTGTTTGTATAAAAAGAGGGCTCCTTTGTGCACATGCTCAGATCGGACTGTACAGCATCTTAAACATAATATGAAATAATCCTACCGACCTATAGTACTCATACATTCACCTGGCTGTGTCATGCAATACATTTCAGGGTATGCTATTTATTCTTGGGTTTCACTAAGGCATTATGCCGTGAATCTGACTGTTGGTCAACCTCAAGTGTATTGATGCTTATGCTGTATTGGAGTGAGAAAATGATACGAAATTCCATGTATTGCCACCAAACACAAGGCTAATACATAAAACAAACAATCGACTCACTCTGATAATTGTGTTTTGTTTTTGAGTTGACCCCCCGTCACTTCTGTGACGTCATATGAAACCCAAGAATATTCTGCGATAATGCTCACAATTTCTTTCTTATTATATAGTTTTGCAGTTCTGACTGAGTACAATCTCTGACTGAGTACAATGAATGGTGTCATCTGAAGCTGACATATTAATTAAAAATAGATTTTGTCTCCCCATCAGATTGTTCGGTTGATTTGCAATAGGGGTAGCCTTGAAGATGCCAATGTAAATAATAATTGGGAAAAACAGACTTAGTATTTCTACAGTGTGTCTAAAAAAAAAGTGAACCCTTTCAAATTCAAATTAGCTATAACGTATTGTAGTAATTTGACAGCAGTCTAATTGCATTGAATTAATAGTTGGGTAAGAACACAAGGTATACTGTATTTCTTTTAACTGAATTTTCTAATTTTTATTTCTTTGAGTTTTGTCCCATGAGTACAAGATCTTGTGTTCTTACCCAATCATTAATTCAAAGCAATTAGAGCTGTCAAATTTGAAAGGTTCACTTTTTTTGAGACACATTGTGCATATGATATTATACAGTATTCAGTGGCTAGCTAGCCATGGCAACTGGTATATTATAAACCTGCATATTTGAATAATGCAAATAATTACAAATTTGCATAGTTTATGACCTTTTGGTATGGCTAGCTTTGCCACAGACAGTATTGTAATTATATATACAAAAACAAGAAATTATAAGCATTGAAGGTATTCATATAAAACTGCCCAATGCCAAGAAAGTAGAAATAGAATATTTAGCTGACCTTTGACTTTGTGCAAGGTGTTTGATATTCAAGTTGCACTTTTCCTACCTCATGAACAGGTGTCTTAGGGGCTGTTTACTGTAAATATTGGAAGGCGGGGTGATTTTAATGTATTGAAATAAGTCAACAGAATTCAAATGTTGTAGTTCAAAAAGATTATTATTGCTCCTTGAACAACCTTTAGTTTACAGTTAACTATGTAGTTTTTTGTTGAATCGTGCACAGTAATTTATTTTACAAGTAATACGGCAAAGCAGGATCATATAAACTGACCCTTATTCAGCAAATTCTGCATGCTGCCTTTGATCCCTTGGGGGTGAGGCAGCACTTTCCTTGCGATAGTAACTTCTAGCTATATATAAACCAATCACAATCGTCTTTCTATCACACATTCTTCTCGAGCTTTGAGCTGCCATATTTGAAAACATTTCTAGCAGATTTTATAGTCTATTTGCGATTCCGTGCAATGAAATGGAGATAGGAAAGAGAACTAGAATAAGCGACAACCAGAGAGATATTTTGGAAAGGTTTTACGGCCGTGGAACGGTCGGTGTTGGTCTAAATTATCGCGAAATGATCGAAAGCGCTGTAGCAGAAACTGGCTTAACAACGACTCAAGTTATAAAGGTAAATATAGATATCATAGTGATGTTAATGTTGACTATTTACTATTAAAGACACTAGATGACATACAAAAATATACTAATATAAACTAGTATCAGGCCTTGCTTGGATGAAAACCAAGATACTTGATCAATAGTGCAGCTACTGTGCATTCAAGGCATTATTTTCTATGCACCTACTTAAGCGAGAGTCTACTTCGTATATTGTTATTACATGCCTAGTTGACAGTCTGAACTTACTGTAACATGCATGTTTCCCCATTGATGAGTGAAATTGTCTGGCGTTAGACAAGTAAAAAAAAGGAGGGGCACTGGGGCACATTACGTCTCAATGGGTTTAATGCACCTATAAATGTTAAGCCTCAGAGGGGAGGGGGTCGGGCATAGTTGGGGCATTTGATTTTTTTAGCAAATTTCCAATCAAATGCCCCACCGTCGGGCAATAAATATTGGTCAAATGCCCCACCATCTTGCAATAAATTGCAATAATTACTATGTTAATAACAGTCATTCGGTTCAAATTGCCCCAACTCGGGGCCAAAATGCTAATCAAAATCCCCAGGGTGGGGATGGAATTGATAATCAAATACCCCACATCTGCCCGAACCCCGCCCCCTTTGGGGGTTAACATTGATAGGTGCATAATAACTAGAGACATTGTCAGATTTTTTGGTTAACCCCTTAAAGTGCAGAGCTTCCCCATTGGCATTATTAGACAAGGTTAATAGGCACGCACACACGATCAAGCGCCTTCCTAGGCTATACTGTAGGGGTGCACCAGAAACCATTTTTTTAAGTTCCGGCTGGAACTGGATCTGGCCGGAACTGGAAGAAAGTTCCAGCTGGAACTGAGTCATATGGTCATATGTTACTTTGTCTGCTGCCAGACAGTCAGACACTTTCAGTCATGAAACAGAGAGCATGCAAATGTTAGAATAAAAAGATTGACTATTGTTAAACAACATAATGAAGTGTAAATATCCATGTGTTTGAGTCAAAATAGTATAAACAATCGAGCCATTTTATAGTCAATTGAAACCATTGTTTTACCTTAAATGAATTGAAAGCTCAAACCTAGCTTATATATCAAACATATCCAAATGGATATTCTGGCCGGATAGCAAAAAGCTCTACCTGGTTCAGTGGTTCACCCTAGGCTTACTAACATTGTCTTGGTGAAGCAATAAAATGCAAATATATATTCAGCCATGAAATATAACCATGTGGTGATTCATCAGTTTTGTATTCTGCTCTTTTATGCTACATATCTAATAACAAAGTGATAAAGTAAGAGTAAGAGCAAAGAGAAAATCACTCTGCATTGATATTGTGTGCTTCAGGAAATATATCTTCAAAAATGATAGAACTCTGGCTAGGGCTGCTGTGCAACTAACACTAAACCACATCATGTTGCATGTTTTATTTCTTTAAGAAGGTCTCTGACCGTGCTTTTTTGTCGCCACCATGACAATGCACGTCAATGCTTTTTGTTTTGCTAAACCGTGTTTTCTTGTATATAAATATATAGGATCCTTGTTAATAAGATTCACTAGAGGTTGAGATTCAATAAATGTTCATATAACTCATAAAGGGGTCAAGATTGTGCCATATGGGGGGGGGGGAATTTGGCATGTTGCATTTGTCAAATCGTCGGAATGAGCTTGGTGACCTCAACATTTATGTCTGTTTTTATTATGAGGATATCATAAACTTCACCCCTGGGAAGTTTCCGCAAATTCTCATTCCCAGAACAATATTGATGAATCACCTAGAATCTTATTTTTATAATGTCCTTTAGATGAGTGCAAAGATTTGATGTTGATTGAGAAAAACCAGTTGGCTTCTCCAGCATGGAAGCTCGCAGGTGAAGATGAGAAGCAAGTGTTCAAGAGTTTATCAGATGACCTCGAATCATGGCTGTTGGCAAGAACATGAAGCACAGCCAGGAGGAAAAACCTTTAATTTTGCCCGTTTATACCGATTCAGAAGAAAGGTTTTGGTTATTCTATGCTATCACTAAGCCAACTTAAATACAGCAAACAGGACCACTTACAAAGATTACTGGTTGGACCTTAGTCCTACTAACTGAAGGTTACAAAGTCCTGGATTCACTTCTATAATATGTATAGTTTTATTCCTCTTCATTATCAAAATTTAATAAAATAGTGAATTAATACAATTTTAAGGTTTATTTAATCCGTGTGACATAATTTGCCGTGAGATTCATATCTGTACTTACCTTATCTGTGGCTCTGAGCTAACTGTTGCTGTTCCTTGCACGATTATGTGCGTGAGGCACTTGCCTAATGGGTAGTCGTCAGGGAGACAAAGGTGTGACCCTTGGTAACGGGCGATTAGTTCTATGGTACCTGTTGAAACAAAAGAAACCCGGGCAACTATGCTGTTACAACAATAATAAGACATGCCTAGATTACCATTGCAGGGTGTTAGATCAATGAAATGACATGCGTACATCAGTGTTTGGGGTTGCTAAATCTTTTATGATCAGACGTGCCTAGATTACCTTTGGAGGGTGTTAGATCAATAATAAGACACGCATGCCTAGATTGCCATTAGAGGGTGTTAGATAAATAATAAGACATGCCTATATTACCATTGGAGGGTTGTCAGATCAATGAAATGACATACGTAGATCAGTGTTAGGGGTTGCTAAATCAGTTACGAGCAGACATGCCTAGATTACAATGGGAGGGTGTTAGATCAATAATAAGACATGCCTAGATTACCATATCAATGACATGACATGACATGCGTACATCAGTGTTTAATAGGGGTTGCTAAATCAGTTATGATCAGACATGCCTAGATTACCATTAGAGGGTGTTACATCAATAATAGGACATGCCTAGATTACCATTAGAGGGTGTTAGATCAATGAAATGACATGCGTAGATCAGTGTTAGGGATTGCTAAATCAATTATGATCAGACATGCCGAGATTACCATTAGAGGGTGTTACAACAATAATAAGACATGCCTAGATTACCATTGCAGGGTGTTAGATCAATGAAATGACATGCGTACATCAGTGTTTGGGGTTGCTAAATCTTTTATGATCAGACGTGCTTAGATTACCAATGGAGGGTGTTAGATAAATAAAAAGACATTAGATCGCTAACATTGATCTACGTATGTCATTTCATTGATCTAACAACCCTCCAATGGTAATATAGGCATGTCATACCATTGATCTAACACCCTCCAATGGTAATCTAAGCATGTCTGATCGTAACTGATTTAGCAACCCCTAACACTGATCTACGTATGTCATTTCATTGATCTAACAACGCTCCAATGGTAATCTAGGCATGTCATATCATTGATCTAACACGCGTTATTGGTAATCTAGGCATGTCTTATTATTGATCTAACACCCTCCAATGGTAATCTAGGCATGTCTGATCATAATTGATTTAGCAATCCCTAACACTGATCTACGTATGTCATTTCATTGATCTAACAACCCTCCAATGGTAATATAGGCATGTCATACCATTGATCTAACACCCTCCAATGGTAATCTAAGCATGTCTGATCGTAACAGATTTAGCAACCCCTAACACTGATCTAGGTATGTCATTTCATTGATCTGACAACCCTCCAATGGTAATATAGGCATGTCTTATTATTTATCTAACACCCTCCAATGGTAATCTAGGTATGTCTGATCGTAACTGATTTAGCAACCCCTATTAAACACTGATGTACTAATGTCATTTCATTGATCTAACACCCTGCAATGGTAATCTAGGCATGTCTTATTATTGATCTAACACCCTCTAATGGTAATCTAGGCATGTCTGATCATAATTGATTTAGCAACCCCAAACACTGATGTACGCATGTCATTTCATTGATCTGACACCCTCTATACTGGTAATATAGGCATGTTTTATTATTTATCTAACACCCTCCATTGGTAATCTAGGCAAGTCTGATCATAACAGATTTAGCAACCCCTAACACTGATGTACGCATGTCATTTCATTGATGTAGCACCCTGCAATGGTAATCTAGGCATGTCTTATTATTGATGTAACACCCTCTAATGGTAATCTAGGCATGTCTGATCCTAACTGATTTAGCAACTTCTATTAAACACTGATGAACGCATGTCATGTCATGTCATTGATATGGTAATCTAGGCATGTCTTATTATTGATTTTACACCCTCCGATGGTAATCTAGGCATGTCTGATCATAATTGATTTAACAATCCCTGTCACTGATCTACGTATGCCATGTTATTGATCTAACAACCCTCCAATGGTAATCTAGGCATGTCATATCATTGATCTAACACCATCCAATGGTAATCTAGGCATGTCTTATTATTGATCTAACACCCTCTAATGCTAATCTAGGCATGTCTGATCATAATTGATTTAGCAACCCCAAACACTGATCTACGCATGTCATTTCATTGATCTAACACCTTCTACTCGTAAGCTAGGCATGTCTTATTATTGATGTAACACCCTCTAATGGTAATCTAGGCATGTCTGATCATAATTGATTTAGCAATCCCTATTAAAAACTGGTGTACGCATGTCATGTCATGTCATTGATCTGGTAATCTAGGCATGTCTTATTATTGATCTTACACCCTCCGATGGTAATCTAGGCATGTCTGATCATAATTGATTTAGCAATCCCTATCACTGATCTACGTATGCCATGTCATTGATCTAACACCCTCCAATGGTAATCTAG